AAGCTGGAGGAGGTGGCTGGGGAGAGGGAGGTCTGGGCTTTTCTGCTTAGATTGCTGCCCTCGCGACCCGGCCCTGGATAAGCGAAAGAAGATGGATGGACAAACGAGTGAAAGCAAAGTAACCTACAAGATACACTGTGCTCATTCGGACATTCAATAGTGCCAATATTTTCTGTAAATTGTAATACACTGTCAAGAGAATTAGAGGAACACTCACCTTTTTACTTTTCAAACACAAGCATCTGTACTTCTATTAAAAATGTGAAAAATGTGTGTTCTTTTGCCACCTCTGTATATCAACTAATAGATGGATAGAGGTATATCTGTATATTTACAAAGGGGATACACCAGTACTGCCACTCCACTGAGTTAACCACAGGATCCATACCTGCCATCAAAAGTGAGAGGATGGATACTGTCTATCAAATTCTTCATATTTAACATTCAATTGATTACTTATAATTATAAATTAACTTAGACCTAAATGTTGGACCTAAATCATAACCTGTACTGTAGTTACGGCTGTTTGGACATTTTAATTTTTTCTTTTTAAATCTTACATTTTTTTAAGTGAGCATATGTTATGTCCTTCAAAAAATGTTGGACTGATGTCTTAGCACAATCATCAAAACACCAAATGAGGTAGGAGTTTTTGGAAGAAATATGCTTCTTCACTTTAGTAGATTTCCAGAGAATTGTGTATGAGTGCCAAATAGTACTGAGACTGTTCTGGTGGTGTGTGGTCCTTTATTAACTAACATAGTATGTTAGTTTTTTAATTACCTTTAGCCATTAAGTTTCTTTCTTACCTGATTCTCGTCCAGGTGCTCTTTGGTGACGGAGGAGATAACGTACCTCTCCCCTCTGCTGTCCTGATCGCTGCAACACCTCCAGCATCTGTTCTCCTTCTCCAACAACACGTTCTGATTGATTGAAAAAAGCACACAACGTTAAAGATTATAACATTAACCCTTTGTTACAAAAAGAGATGGAATGAATCAATCATGATATAATTACACCATAGGGCCAAAAACTATGTGTGAAAATATAAGTCTTATCACCTGAAAGTCACATTATGGCTACTTTTAAAATATAGCTACAACCATATCAGTGTTTGTGTATTTGAGGTTCATGTGGATGAATACCGCAATTTATCCAAAACGAGCGGTTTGGATATCTACTTGACACAAGAAACTCACCTGAGCCTCTCAATATCTCAGCCAGATAGCAGTCGGACTCGCCAGGCTCCTTGCAGAGCTCCACCACATCTCTGCACAGTGTCTCTGGTGTGATGGGGACTTCACTAAAGTGTTGGTTATTGTTGCTGAGGTACACAGTTAGGAACATCTACAATTACAAAATACATTTTGGTAATAAGAATTCAGGGTTCGTTTATTTGCCAGATGTTGAGAAACCAGCTGCTAGTGTCAACACCACTTTATGAGTTCTAGAAATTGAATGGGTGACCTAGAGTACCAAACTGAGGGTAGCAGACTATGCAGAGGTGCCCAGACTTCCCTCTAACCGGCTACACGAACAACACTGTGCATAAGTCGAATGCTGATTGGCTGAAATTGGAAACCGAATGATAGTGGATATGTCTGTGTAGGTTCTCAGTCATCCAGGTAATGGTATTTGGGACGAAACAGGACTGGACATCTTTGTGAAGATGACGATGTTTGTGGAGATGTTTCATCTCTCAATGAGATAAAGCCAGGCAAGTCAGCCTTTGCTACTTGCACTCCACGTGATAGAAAAAGCAAATGCTGGATGGAAACTCCTGAAGCAGTTACATGGTGGAAAACCATTACTTTAAGCTATTGGTTAAAAAGGAAGAAATAACATCCCAGGTAAAGTACTTTAGTTACTTTCAATCTAAAGTGTTAATTATGTAATTTATACTTAACTTAAACTTACAGTTGACTTATGATGTGTCATAGAATATTGTGTCACTACGATTGCACTATAATGCTGCTGCTGGCACGTTGTTTCAATAGACTACCTTTAAATTAGGAAGACTGTCATCAAGGACAGTAGCTCACTTGAAAAGCAGGACGAGAGATCCGCGTCATTGATTTACAACTGTGAGCTTGTGTATTACTGGGTCTGTACCTTAAAATAATCAGGTACCTTGAGGCCAATTTTGTTGTGATTTGGTGCTATATAAACAAAACTGAAATTGAATTGAAAGTCATGCAGGAAGTAGACCGTTCAACCACATTGCAAGAGGACAGTTGAGGCAGTTCTGGCGTCTGATTAGGCTGCCTCCTTTATAGAAGGAGGTGATATAGCCTCAAAATTATATCACGATATTTTAAGAAAATTTGCAATAATTATATTTTATGACAATATAAAAAATGCTTTGTTGATGCTCACCAAAAGCTTCACTCTGCTACTCAGACAACCATTGGATGAGGTTCATTCTGCTACTCATGCTCATATGTTTTGGTTAGCACCCACTCATAAGCATAACCATAAGTAAAACTCAACCAGTAACATCATAAGATCACCAACCTCACTTTCACAACAGACCTGTACAACATCCACAAACTTAAAATAGTTCCAAGGGCTGTCGGGTTTCCAATGTTCTGTTTAAAGTGTTAAAACCAAAATCATTGGAATAGTCCGTCAACAGACTGTGTTCAGTAAAACAGCATGCAACATAACAGTTTCACTGAAAACAAAACCTGCCCTTTTCACCTTTATTGCAGCTTTTGCGCTATTTACAACTATTACAGATATTTGTGGACAGAACTCCCATGATGCAATGAGCCATCTGTTACTCCAGCAGGGTAGGCCCACAGCCAGATTACTTCCCACAGCCTGCCAACCTGCGTGGATGCAGCACTCAGCACTTTCCAGCCTTTACTTATCCTGTGAACTAGGCACTAACCAACAACATGCTCAAAGGCTTATCAGAGCTTCTTCTAAGGTTTCCCATCCACAAAGCTGGTCTAAGGATTAAAATCTTCAACTTGACATCCCTGAGCTGGCTTTTCTCATTTTGCACAGCTCTTTCTGCCCTGATTTCCGTTTTATTCATTCCAGTCAATGTGGTCTGGAAAAAGCTCAAAAGAACAAAAACATATATGATGCATATGCCAACAAGATATAAAAAGAGAGGGGCTGAGCATTCAAAAAAGACAAAACAGTATTTTAAGCTAAA